TCCTGCACTGCTAGATCTTGGTAACAACTGATATACAATACAACAACACAACATGCCCAGGAAAAGTATTTATATTGTTCCATCTCACAGTTTGCTCGTATAAGGTACTCTTGTAAATATTTACAATGTAAGATATCATTGTAACATAGGTCACAAAGTATGTTTTACACATTTATAAATTCACGAATACGATGACAAATAAATAATGATTTATCTTGAAAGGAAGTCATATATCCAGAGAGGTTGAATTGAACACCTTCGGACAAGGTCGCTCACTGAGTCTGGGTTGGCGCCAAAAATTCGACCGATGCGATGGTTCTTCTCAGCATTCAATAAAAAAAAGGCATAGAGATAAACTTTAAAGAATTAAAATGAGAATATATCTTGAACGAAATAAAGTTTTAAACTTTGCTGTGCTTTGAAGGACTAATAGAGGGTTTTAGCTAGTGATTTATAAGAGAAAGTCTTCCAGTAACACGGGGAGATGTGTTCCTGAAAATCCGCTTCTTAGGTAAAGTGAAGAACATAGGGAAAAAATAGGGTTACGTTCAGAGGTCTCTATATTTAGCAGACATAATTTTTATTCGTAAGTTTTACGTCATAAAAATAACACATCTTGTGTTACCCTGCAGTGTATTTGTTGTAATTGTTGTAGCTGTTATTGTTGTAGTAGTTGTTGTTGGTTGATATAGAGATGTGTGTGGTTGATGTGGTTGTTGTTGGTTGGAGCTGTTAAGTCAGGAAGTGACGTGAAACATCTACACCAGGAGAGACCAGTGCATTACTTTATTGGCAACGTTTCGCCTACACGGTGGGCTTTATCAGGTCTGTGACTCGATAAAGCCCGCTACGTGGGCGAAATTTTGCTAGTGAGGAATTGCATTATACTCCTCTACGTATATTTATTTACCAAATTGTACCAGACATTGTAGCAACCCACCACAGTTGTACCAAACATAGCAACAACCCACCACAGTTGTACCAAACATAGCAACAACCCACCACAGTTGTACCAAACATAGCAACAACCCACCACAGTTGTACCAAACATAGCAACAACCCACCACAGTTGTACCAAACATAGCAAAAACCCACCACTTGTACCAAACATAGCAACAACCCACCACAGTTGTACCAAACATATTAACAACCCACCACAGTTGTACCAAACATAGCAACAACCCACCACAGTTGTACCAAACATAGCAACAACCCACCACAGTTGTACCAAACATAGCAACAACCCACCACAGTTGTACCAAACATAGCAACAACCCACCACAGTTGTACCAAACATAGCAACAACCCACCACAGTTGTACCAAACATAGCAACAACCCACCACAGTTGTACCAAACATATTAACAACCCACCACAGTTGTACCAAACATAGCAACAACCCACCACAGTTGTACCAAACATAGCAAAAACCCACCACTTGTACCAAACATAGCAACAACCCACCACAGTTGTACCAAACATATTAACAACCCACAACAGTTGTACCAAATATAGCAACAACCCACCACAGTTGTACCAAACATAGCAACAACCCACCACAGTTGTACCAAACATAGCAAAAACCCACCACTTGTACCAAACATAGCAACAGCCCACCACTTGTACCAAACATAGCAACAACCCACCACAATTGTACCAAACATAGCAACAACCCACCACAGTTGTACCAAACATAGCAACAACCCACCACAGTTGTACCAAACATAGCAAAAACCCACCACAGTTGTACCAAACATAGCAACAACCCACCACAGTTGTACCAAACATAGCAACAACCCACCACAGTTGTACCAAACATAGCAACAACCCACCACACTTGTACCAAACATAGCAACAACCCACCACACTTGTACCAAACATATTAACAACCCACCACAGTTGTACCAAATATAGCAACAACCCACCACAGTTGTACCAAACATAGCAACAACCCACCACAGTTGTACCAAACATAGCAACAACCCACCACAGTTGTACCAAACATAGCAACAACCCACCACAGTTGTACCAAACATAGCAACAACCCACCACAGTTGTACCAAACATAGTAACAACCCACCACTTGTACCAAACATAGCAACAACCCACCACAGTTGTACCAAACATAGCAACAACCCACCACAGTTGTACCAAACATAGTAACAACCCACCACTTGTACCAAACATAGCAACAACCCACCACACTTGTACTAGACATAGCAAGAACCCACCACACTTGTACCAAATATAGCAACAACCCACCACTTGTACCAAACATAGCAACAACCCACCACACTTGTACCAAACATAGCAACAACCCACCACAGTTGTACCAAACATAGCAACAACCCACCACTTGTACCAAACATAGCAACAACCCACCACACTTGTACCAAACATGGCAACAACTCACCACAGTTGTACCAAACATAGCAACAACCCACCACTTGTACCAAACATAGCAACAACCCACCACACTTGTACCAGACATAGCAAGAACCCACCACACTTGTACCAAACAGCAACAGTCCACCACAATTGTACCAAACGATCTTGTACCAAAAATGAATGTATTTGATAAAGCGAGGTACGAAATAGCAGTACACACAGGTGGCAGACAACGCTATTCAAAGCACCACCTGCCATCAACCTGTCAAATGTGGTCAAAATTCCCCTGATTTCTTCATGAAATTGTCCTAGACGTAAGAGAGCTTGATAAAGCAGCTGTTAAAGAGATGTGACGGTATGTGTTATATGAGGTTTGCTGGCAGTGATGTGGGAGGCTGTGTCTGGGAGATCTGCCAAGTGTGAATCACTACGGCTCGGTACGGTATAAGTTGTGACAGCCCTATAAATCACCAACGTAAACATGTTATCATGGCTGTAACTCACTCTAAGATCACACCTCCACTACACAACTGTAGGAGCTTTAAAAGCTCTTTCATAACTCAACACGATATCCAGCAAATGGAGAAATACAGACTAGAGTAGATAGCCGGAATAGGCAGCTGGAGTAGACAGCCAGGTTAGATACATGACTGTGAAAGATACGGGAATGTTGTAAGCTAGTTTATAAAGCTTCTCTGTATAGTGTCATCCTTATATAAGGCTACTGTATCACAGTATAATTGTGATAAGATAAGAAGCCTGACAGGAATGATTCACGTCCATCCTTTCATTGACAAAATTAGAATTTAGGCCTATGAAATATATTTTTTGGAATTTCTGGCATATTTAATAAATTATTGTTATAAGTATAATTATTATTGTTATTATGAGGGGAAGTGGTAAACCCGTAGGGATCATATAGAGCATGGAGAATGGGATTCAGTCAGGTTATATCCAAGGAAGGGAAAGGTATATTCTCTTCCTTGGATCAAAAGCTCCACCCCAGTTTCTGGCTATTTGATGATAACTGGGAAGATATTTTATCTGCCTGGCAGCGCTGCGAAAACCTACGGTCGTTAGCACCCAAATTTCTGACTCAGCAAATAGTAATGACCCAAACTTCACTTCGTCCGATAAAATCTACGGTGTCCACTACCCTATTTTCACACACCAGGATAAAATCTACGATACACAAATAACCCGTATTTCACAGGTTAGGAGTGGAGTGTGAAAATCTACGATAGTTACTACCCGTATTTCACAGGTTAAGAGTGGAGTGTGAAAATCTACGATAGTTACTCTCGTATTTCACAGGTTAGGAGTGGAGTGTGAAAATCTACGATAGTTACTCCCGTATTTCACAGGTTAGGAGTGGAGTGTGAAAATCTACGATAGTTACTCCCGTATTTCACAGGTTAGGAGTGGAGTGTGAAAATCTACGATAGTTACTCTCGTATTTCACAGGTTAGGAGTGGAGTGTGAAAATCTACGATAGTTACTACCCGTATTTCACAGGTTAGGAGTGGAGTGTGAAAATCTACGATAGTTACTACTCGTATTTCACAGGTTAGGAGTGGAGTGTGAAAATCTACGATAGTTACTACCCGTATTTCACAGGTTAGGAGTGGAGTGTGAAAATCTACGATAGTTACTCCCGTATTTCACAGGTTAGGAGTGCAGTGTGAAAATCTACGATAGTTACTCCCGTATTTCACAGGTTAGGAGTGGAGTGTGAAAATCTACGATAGTTACTACCCGTATTTCACAGGTTACGTCTCGCGCTGAAGCAACATAACATCGGGTGTTGTAAAAAAGATAGCAGTTATATTTTAAATTTTTTACAGTTTCACTTAGCCAGAGTTGAGGTGTGTAGGGTCGTGTTATGGCAGAGTTTAACATGACTTTGTTAACCTCGTCTGCTACGAACAACAAACTGTTATATAATTGATAAAGTTATTGTTATATATATGCTCAGTAATAACCCACATGGAGACAGAAGCTCAGAAGATTTATGGGTATGTATATTTCGACCCCCTTGTGGTGTCCTCTTCAGCAGATACATAAGTGAAATGAAAACAAGAATGTATAGGGAAGGTTACACATTACTGAATATATATATGTATGTATATATATATATATATATATAATATATATATATATATATATATATATATATATATATATATATATATATATATATATATATATACAATGTTTGTTATTACTAAATAACGTCGGCGTTGCTAACAATTTCGGCGTCGTTATTTTTAATTGGTAGAACAGTTACTGTGTTTGGTTTGTCTCTGGTGAGTTGGTCTTTGTTGACATTTTTCAGTCTGGAAATTGAAAAACAAAAGAAAGTTAGACAATGGTGTGCTTCTCCCAACATTAATTCTTGGTTGTGTAATGGGTGGTGTAACGTTTCTTTTATATAGAGTCCTAAATGTTACACAAGTGTAGAGTTTGTATAATGGAGTACTAATGTATTCGGGAGGTGACTGGAGTACTAACGAGTGCGAGAGGTGACTGGAGTACAGTGGAGTGGTAACGAGTGCAGGAGGAGGCGACTGCAGTATGATGGAGTACTAAGGAGTATTATTTTGCACTTGACAGGAGTACAGTCAGCGAATCGGGGACGACAAGCGACTTCAAGAGCACCTGAAGCTTCCCATCCAGAGACTGAACGACTACCAGCTCTTGTTGAGGGTGAGACACACACACACACACACACACACACACACACACACACACACACACACACTCGTTCTGTCACCCTATATACAAACCACTTACCCACACAACGACTCAATCAACCATATAACCTAACATCCATACAGTTAACCACTCAGCCTACCACACAACCAACCACACAACCTACCATACAACCAGCCCACACAACCTACCATACAACCAACCACACATCCTACCATACAACCAGCCACACAACCTACCATACAACCAACCACACATCCTACCATACAACCAGCCACACAACCTACCATACAACCAACCACACATCCTACCATACAACCAGCCACACAACCTACCATACAACCAACCACACAACCTACCATACAACCAGCCACACAACCTACCATACAACCAACCACACATCCTACCAAACAACCAGCCACACAATCTACCATACAACCAACCACACATCCTACCATACAACCAACCACACGTCCTACCATACAACCAGCCACACAACCTACCATACAACCAACCACACGTCCTACCATACAACCAGCCACACATCCTACCATACAACCAACCACACAACCTACCATACAACCAGCCACACAACCTACCATACAACCAACCACAACGTCCTACCATACAACCAGCCACACAACCTACCATACAACCAACCACACATCCTACCATACAACCAGCCACACAACCTACCATACAACCAACCACACAACCTACAATACAACCACCACACAACCTACCATACAACCAACCACACATCCTACCATACAACCAGCCACATAACCTACCATACAACCAACCACACATCCTACCATACAACCAACCACACAACCTACCACACAACCAACCACACGTCCTACCATACAACCAGCCTCACAACCTACCACACAACCAGCCACACAACCTACCACACAACCAACCACACAACCTACCATACAACCAACCACACATCCTACCATACAACCAGCCACCACAACCTACCACACAACCAGCCACACAACCTACCACACAACCAACCACGCAACCTACCATACAACCAGCCACACAACCTACCATACACAACCAGCCACACAACCTACCACACAACCAGCCACACAACCTACCATACAACCAGCCACACAACCTACCATACAACCAACCACGCAACCTACCACACAACCAGCCACACAACCTACCATACAACCAGCCACACAACCTACCACACAACCAGCCACACAACCTACCACACAACGAACCACACAAACCTACCATACAACCAACCACACATCCTACCATACAACCAGCCACACAACCTACCATACAACCAGCCACACAACCTACCACACAACCAGCCACACAACCTACCACACAACCAACCACACAACCTACCATACAACCAACCACACATCCTACCATACAACCAGCCACACAACCTCCACACAACCAGCCACACAACCTACCACACAACCAACCACGCAACCTACCATACAACCAGCCACACAACCTACCATACCAACCAGCCACACAACCTACCATACAACCAGCCACACAACCTACCACACAACCAGCCACACAACCTACCACACAACCAGCCACACAACCTACCACACAACCAACCACACAACCTACCATACAACCAACCACACATCCTACCATACAACCAGCCACACAACCTACCACACAACCAGCCACACAACCTACCACACAACCAACCACGCAACCTACCATACAACCAGCCACACAACCTACCATACAACCAGCCACACAACCTACCATACAACCACCACACAACCTACCACACAACCAGCCACACAACCTACCACACCAACCAACCACACAACCTACCACACAACCAACCACATAACCTACCATACAACCAGCCACACAACCTACCACACAACCAGCCACACAACCTACCATACAACCAGCCACACAACCTACCATACAACCAGCCACAAACCCTACCACACAACCAGCCACACAACCTACCATACAACCAGCCACACAACCTACCACACAACCAACCACACAACCTACCACACAACCAACCACGCAACCTACCATACAACCAGCCACACAACCTACCATACAACCAGCCACACAACCTACCATACAACCAGCCACACAACCTACCACACAACCAGCCACACAACCTACCCCACAACCAACCACAAAACCTACCATACAACCAGCCACACATCCTACCATACAACCAGCCACACACCTACCATACAACCACCACACAACCTACCACACAACCAACCACACAACCTACCATACAACCAGCCACACATCCTACCATACAACCAACCACACATCCTACCATACAACCAGCCACACAACCTACCACACAACCAGCCACACAACCTACCACACAACCAACCACGCAACCTACCATACAACCACCACACAACCTACCATACAACCAGCCACACAACCTACCACACAACCAGCCACACAACCTACCACACAACCAACCACGCAACCTACCATACAACCAACCACACAACCTACCATACAACCAACCCCACGCAACCTACCATACAACCAACCACGCAACCTACCATACAACCAACCACACTACCTACCACACAACCAACCACGCAACCTACCATACAACCAGCCACACAACCTACCATACAACCAGCCACACAACCTAGCAAAGAACCAGCCACACAACCTACCATACAACCACCACACAACCTAGCAAAGAACCAGCCACACAACCTACCATACAACCAGCCACACAACCTACCACACAACCAGCCACACAACCTACCACACAACCAACCACGCAACCCCACCATACAACCAGCCACACAACCTACCATACAACCAGCCACACAACCTAGCAAAGAACCAGCCATACAACCAGCCACACAACCTAGCAAAGAACCAGCCACACAACCTACCATACAACCAGCCACACAACCTACCACACAACCACCACACAACCTACCACACAACCCAACCACGCAACCTACCATACAACCACCACACAACCTACCATACAACCAGCACACAACCTACCATACAACCAGCCACACAACCTACCATACAACCACCACACAACCTAGCAAAGAACCAGCCACACAACCTACCATACAACCAGCCACACAACCTAGCAAAAACCAGCCACACAACCTACCATACAACCAGCCACACAACCAACCACACAACCTACCATACAACCAACCACACATCCTACCATACAACCAGCCACACAACCTACCACACAACCAGCCACACAACCTACCACACAACCAACCACGCAACCTACCACACAACCAACCACGCAACCTACCATACAAACCAGCCACACAACCTACCATACAACCAGCCACACAACCTAGCAAAGAACCAGCCACACAACCTACCATACATTCAACCACTCAACCTACCCCACAGTCACCCACACAACCAACCACAACCACACAAACAACCACAACCACTCAACTAACCACACAACCACCCACACTACACAATCAACCACAGCATCAACCACACAATCAACCACAACATAAACCCTCCTCTCTCATATTCTTCATCTTCTGCTCATAGTCTCCTCATCACCTTCATCCTCGTGTTTCTTCTTAAGTGAAAATGTTAATATGAAGGTCACGTGACCTTATGTTAATATAAAGGTCACCTGACTATGTTTTGTGACTGACCTTTGACCTGTGGCGCTGATCTTTGATCTGTGACACTGATCTTTGATCTGAGACACTGACCTTTGACCTGTGGCACTGACCTTTGACCTGTGACACTGACCTTTGACCTGTGGCACTGATATTTGATCTGTGACACTGATCTTTGATCTGTGACACTGATCTTTGATCTGAGGCACTGACCTTTGACCTATGGCACTGATCTTTGATCTGAGACACTGACATTTGACCTGTGGCACTGACTTGACCTGTGATACTGACCTTTAACCTGTGGCACTGATATTTGACCTGTGACACTGACCTTTGACCTGTGACACTGACCTTTGACACTGACCTTTGACCTGTGACACTGACCTTTGACCTGTGGCACTGATCTTTGATCTGAGACACTGACCTTTGACCTCTGGCACTGACTTGACCTGTGATACTGACCTTTGACCTGTGACACTGACGTTTGACTTGTGAGTCTGACCTTTGACCTGTGGCACTGACCTTTGACCTGTGACACTGACCTTTGACCTGTGGCACTGATATTTGACATGTGACACTGACCTTTGACCTGTGACACTGACCTTTGACCTGTGGCACTGATCTTTGATCTGAGACACTGATCTTTGATCTGAGACACTGACCTTTGACCTGTGGCACTAGCCTTTGACCTCTGGCACTGATCTTTGATTTGAGACACTGACCTTTGACCTGTGGCACTGACTTTTGACCTGTGATACTGACCTTTGACCTGTGACACTGACCTTTGACTTGTGAGTTTGACCTTTGACCTGTGGCACTGATCTTTGACCTGTGGCACTAACCTTTAATCTGTGGCAGTGGTCTTCAATCCGACTTACTGACTACTCAGGTCACCCAAGGATGGCTGCTTGTGTGTGTGTGTGTGTGTGTGTGTGTGTGTGTGTGTGTGTGTGTGTGTGTGTGTGTGTGTGTGTGTGTGTGTGTGTTACCCAGGCTCCATGCACTGATACCCCCCCTCCTGACCTTTCAGGAGCTGGTCAAGTACAGTTCGAGGCTCGGGGACGACACCACTGACCTACAACGAGCCTATGATTTGATGCAAACTATTCCTCAGAGGGCTACGGACGCTAAGTTTATTACCTCCATCGAAGGTTTTAAAGGAAACCTATTTAAACTTGGGAGACTTATTAGACACGTGAGTATTGTGGTGTGTGTGTGTTTGGTTATGTGTATATATGTTTTTATGTTTGTTTACTTGTTTGTGTTTGTGTGTGGGGGTTCGTTTGTATGTGTGTGTGTGTGTGTGTGTGTGTAGGTGTTTGTATCCGTGTGTATGCTTGTGTTTATGATGTGTATATGTGTTTTTAGTTACTCTCACTCACTCTCTCTCACTGTCACTCTCTCACAGGACTGGTTCAGCGTTAAGGAAGCTGGTCAGAAAGCCAGAGACAGATACCTGTTCCTGTTCAAAGCAAGAATCCTCATTACCAAGGTTAAGAGGATAGGTGAGGACAGGTCTGTCTTCATCCTCAAGGACATCATCAGGGTGAGTATAATTCCCCTGGGTATATACCCTTCCAGTATAATGGTATATTCAAATTTACGAATATTCGGTATTTTGGGGTATATCCATTTATTTTTCGGGATATATCCATTTATTTTTGGGTATATTTTGCCCATATAGCTATGTGGAAGCTGTTAGGTACACGTATATTTCTAGTGTCTGTCTACCAGTGTATATTCCAGGTACATAAGTACAATTCCAGGTACATAATTCCAGGTACATAATTCCAGGTACATAAGTACAAATAGGATACATAGTGTAAGATAACCAGGATAGCACACAAAAGATCAGACAAAGTGACTTGCTGCAGCTGGGGTCCGTCAGTGCTGACAACTTGATCGTACAACTTCAGAGCGGCATCAAACTTAGTGTGCTTGTGTATTTTAGGCTCTTTGTCTGGGATAACAAGAGAACGCCTCTTCAGTTTGGCTTCAAACCTGGTGTTTCTTATTGGAAGGTTTGAAATAAACTTGGGCCATGAGTGTGCGTGCGTGTGTGTGTGTGTGTGTGTGTGTGTGTGTGTGTGTGTGTGTGTGTGACCTAATTTGCCAATTTTTGGTTAAGGAAATTTTAATATTTTCTGTGATAACTTGTCAGTGCCTCTTCCGATTGCATTAAAATCTTCATTGAGGTGCAGCAGCTGAGGTTGTGCAGCAGCTGAGGTTGTGCAGCAGCTAAGGTTGTGCAGGACGGGGATACCTTTCTAGGATCACTGAGGAAGAGGGAACTTGTTCATGGCCATGAAAAACATGGCCCTCAAAAAGCATGCCCATGAACAAACATGGCAGTGAACAGACATGGCCAGTAGGTCACACTCCTCGGGTGTATTTCAGTGAGCTGAACTAAGGTGACCTAAGGTGTGTATGTTGCTGCTGACGATCCCCCCCCGACACCCCTCCCCCCCACAACCCTCCCCCCCACAACCCTCTCCCCCACTTCCACCTCCCCCCTCCTTCCATCTCCCACTCTCGATCCTCACTTGTTAGTTTACGTTCTTACCTTCGTTTATTCATTGGCTGTAATGCGGGTGTGTCTGGGTTCCTAGGAAGACACACACACACACACACACACACACACACACACACACACACACACACACACACACACACACACACACACACACACACACACACACACACACACACACACGTGAAGCAGTATCGCTAAATAGTGCTCCCAGGATTTAGCGTTTTAGTGGCTGTCCTAGATATTATTAGCGGTCATCGTACGTGAGTGAATCAGTGAACATACCTACAAGAGTGTAATAGCTTTCAAGAGTGCGAATAATGTGATAGGATCAAGAATTTTACAATTTAAATTTGAATGAAATTTGAGTGAGGGAGGGTAGCAGTCAGCTGATCAGGCTACTGGCCACAGTGTTGACACAAAATATCCAAACAGTTAATTGGGTTAACGGTGTGATCTGAAATATTAACAAATACATATGTTGGTTGATTATAGCAGCAGTGTAGTGATAAGGTCATAAAAGAGTGATTAAGTAAATACTGAAAGTAAGAAAAAATTAGTCAATCCCCAGCTGTTGGTGTTGTGAATGTAGCTAACATCATCAGACTTGTTATGACCATAATACTGTACTAAAGAAAAAAGGGAATACCAAGTCTTAAAAGAAAAAGAAAATAAAACTTGAATGCATGATAAAGTTCCTGAAGGAGTTACAAAATTGAAGGAGTTGATAGACGACCAGCAGGAACCTCCATTGTTGTGCAGACGACATCACTTGCCTATTTGTGGTTAATTTTGATTAGTGTCTAAAGTCTCAAGTGTCTCGCCCTGCTGGTTGTATGCTATACCATCTCTCTCTCCCTATTTCAGTACCAGGAGATAGATAGTGGTTAGTAAATTATCTAAATATCGCCAGGTAAACTCCAGAAGAGTTGTGTAGCCTAGTGAACCCCCCCCCCCCGTTTTTCTGAGGGACAAGCTAGTAAACAAGTACGCACATACAAACACACGTGTGCACCCGTAATTATTGTTATAATAAACAGTATATATTAATAAGGAATTGAGTGAGAAAAAATAATCCTATAATCTTCAAAAAGTAAAGTAGCGTAGTGTGTGGAGATCTGGGCCGGGAGAGTACTGGTGAAACAACAACAATAACAAATAGTGTTAACGTAACCCCCCCCCTCTTTTTCAAAGAACAACAAGCTAGTAAACACACACACAAGTGTACGCAATTAATATTATATAGTATATATTAGTGCATATTAATAAGGAATTGATTGTGAAAATTTTTTTTATAATCTTCAAAAGAGTAGCGTAGCCTAGTGTGCGCACGCACACCCACACTCACCCACACACCCACACACACCCACACACACCCACACACCCATACACCCATACACACCCACACACACTCACACACACTCACACACACTCACACACACCCACACACACCCACACACACCCACACACCCACACACCCCACGCCCACCCACACACCCACACACACCCACACACACATCCTTACACACACACACCCACACCCCCACCACCCCCCCCCCCCCACAACACACACCCACACACCCCCACACACACCCACCCACACACCCCCACACACACCCACCACACACACCCCCACACACACCCACCCACACCCACCCACACACACCCACACACCCACACACACCCACACACCCAGCCACACCCACACACACCCACCCACACACCCACCCACCCACCCACCTACACACCCACCCACACACCCCCACACACACACCCACACACACCCACACACACCCACACACACACACCCACACACATACACCCACACACCAACACACACCCACACACACCCACACACACCCACCCACACATCCACCCACACACCCACCCACACACCCACACACTCACCCACACCCCCCCACACCCCCCCACACCCCCCCCACACACACACGCAACACACACACAACACACACACAATACACACACAATACACACACACACACACACACACACATATTGCCAGACTCACACATACACTCCCCCCCCACCCCCACCGACATCTCACTCCTTTACCTGATCCCTCCCCTCCCTCTTTCACCCTCCCCCTCCCCACCTCTCCCTCTCCCACTCACCCACTTACCCACTTGCTTCACTCTCCTTCCCACTCCCCCTCCCCACTATCCCATATAGCCACAGTTCCTCCTCTACCTCCCCCCCCACACTCTGACATATACAATACTAACCTAACATACAGAATTACATAGGTTTCCCACTCTGAGGCAATCAGGATAAAAAAAAAATGGGTTGCCAGAGAGCAACAAGAAAACCCAAGGGACAGGAGGAGGGAACTGCAAAGGAAGATTGGGCAGCAGAGCTCACAAAAAGGGAACAAGAATGGGAAAAGAAACTAGAAGAACTTAGCATGAGAATGGAAGAGAGGATAGACATGGAAAGCAGGAAGTGGGAGGTGAAAGTCAAAGCAGCAGAGGCCAGGATACAGAGCTTAGAAGAGGAACTGGAAAATCTGAAACAGCCTAAAGAACTAAAGAACATTTTGGGATTGACAACAGAGACCGATACCTCAGCCACAAATAAGGGGACTGTAGGGACAGAAGGAGCAAAACTGCATGTAGAAGCTCTATCAGTGGAGACTGTAGTAAATGAAAGAGCTAAGCTATATGTGGAGGCCCTAAAAGACCACAATAGAGCCCAGGGAAAGCCGAGAAGGGAAAATGACAGGCCACTGAGCCCATGTACAGTAGCTAGTGAAACTGAAGAAAGGAAAGCTGCAATGGAGGAAATCAAATTGAATGAGGGGATACACAGGGATATGCAGTGGGAGAATGAAAGGGTGAGGTCAGTCTTTGTGTATGGGCTACAGGAAGTTGAAGGGGAAACATATGAAGCAAGAAAACAAGGGGAAAAAAAAGCAATTGAAAGCATCATGAAAGTAATCGGAGAAGACGACATGACCCAGCTGGAAAATTTTCGGAGAATAGGGGGGTTTGTAAAAAAAGAACCCGGCCAGTGAAAGTGACCTTCAAGGCAGAATCGACTCGGAACAGGATACTGTGGGAGAAAGCACGATTAAGGACATGCCGGAATACAGGAAGGTGTATCTCGACCGCGACAGAACACAAGATGAAAGGCGGAAACTGAGAGAGATGATACAAAGGCGAAAGGAGGAAAGAGAGGGGATGGAGAAGACAGACAGGAGATCCCAGACACAGGAAGAAGATCAAATACAACCTCCCTCACAGCTTCCTATAGAAGCCTCCCAACCAGGTCAACCCCAGTGCAGCCAAACACTCTAAACCAAAACACCCATGTCATATCCAATGCCCCCACCCACTACATTACAAACTCCACCCCCACAGCAACCACCCATAGTTCCTTATCAGGTCTCCCACTTCCCCAACCCCAATACACCTCCCAGACCACAGTCTTAGAAAAGAAGTTGAAGGTATGGTATACAAATGCAGATGGAATAACAAATAAGTATGAGGAGTGGCATGAAAGAATCAAGGAGACATCCCCAGACATAATAGCACTCACAGAAACAAAACTCACCAGAATAATAACAGATTCAATCTTTCCACCCGATATCAAATCCTCAGGAAAGACAGAGGGAGGAGAGGGGAGGAGGAGTTGCACTGCTCATTAAAAGCCAGTGGGGTTTTGAGAAAATGGAAGGAATGGATGGCACAGGTGAAGGGACTACTTAGTAGGAACAATCCAGTCTGAGGGACATAAGGTGATAATTGCAGTAATGTACAACCCACCACAGAACTGCAGAGACCAAGAGAAGAATACGATGAGAGCAACAGAGCCATGGTCGACACACTAGCCGAGGTGGCCAGGAGAGCACATGTGGGGGAGCAAAGTTACTAGTTATGGGTGATTTCAATCACAAGGAGATTGACTGGGAAAACCTGAGCCCCATGGGGGTTCCGAAACATGGAGAGCCAAGATGATGGATGTAGTACTGGAAAACCTCATGCATCAACATGTTAGAGACACTACCAGAGAGAGAGGAGAAGATGAACCAGCAAGACTGGACCTTGTATTCACCTTGAGTTAGTTCAGACATCGAGGATATCTTGTATGAAAGGCCCCTGGGAGCTAGTGATCATGTGGTTCTGTGCTTCGACTACATAGTTGAGCTCCAA